CACATTTGCAGCTTACAGGTCCCAGGTCCCTCTAGGCTGTGAGGCAACAGTGCGATGTCCAACAATACTGTGCTGCCCCTTAAGTGGGAATTTCCCCACCCTCTAAATGTGTAGCTTAAACTGATATTCAGTGTTAACAAAAGGTGACACTATGAATGTTTGCTCACATAAAGATAAATTAATATTATACATGTCTTATTTAAACTGATCTGCCCAGTGGTCAAAATTTCTGGCTGGGATTCCTTCTTGCACTCCCGCACTTAGACAAATTTATGACGCAGAGGTCAACATGACTTGATACAGTACCTTAATCATTAACCAAGACTGTCAGTCATGTCTCTGCCATTTGGAGGCTTGAATGCCAACTGTGCAATTTTCACTGAATGCCAAACCTCAGTTTTTTTGTTTTTTGTTTTCTTTTTTCAAAATGAAGATTTTTTTGCGCGGGGTTGAATGGCTCTGGTTGGACAGTGTAGACATCAATGGCTCTGAATGGTCAGAGGAGGGTTGGCCGATACTAACTGCACAGTGCAGAGTATGCTGGTCCTGATTGGACAAAGAGGGCTTGGCTGGCTGTGAGTGGACAGTGAAGGGCTGGCAGGTGCTGGTTTGACAGCACAGGATTGGTTTCACTCAGCAGCTGGTCCAATGTAACACACATTCTTTGAGGCGTGAGTGAGGAAGGCAGGGAGTGGGGGGTTGTAGGAGTGTGGTGAGTCTTGGTTATCTCAGCAGGCAGTAAATCCTGTGCGTGTCAGTTCCTCCGGTCGTCACTGTCTCAGAGAACAGGTGCCCCTAATGGGAGTGCTTTGGGGGTACAGGGGCCCCTGGTGTGAGTGGTTTTGGGGTACAGGCTTTTGCACCTGTAAGCATAGTTTGGCGGAAAGGGCCGCCCCCTAGTGGGTGAGATCTTGGAATACAGGCTCTCCCTTAGCGGGCGTGGTTTGGGGGAAAAGACCCTCCTCAGTGGGTGTGGTTTTGAAGGAAAGGCTCCCCCCGGTAGCCGCAGTTTCTCAATACAGGCTCCTCAGGATCTGGGCTTGTCTGTACGGTCTGAGTCGGGGTATCGGTAGGAGTCGTAGTGCCTGTGAAAGTCAGGGTGGCGAGGGAAGTAGACAGTGGTCTTGTGCTCTTCATAGCGCTCAATGTGCTTGAGGTGCACCACCATGTGAAGGGCGTACGCCAGAACAAGAAGCAAGATGAGAGAGGTCACCAACCCCATCAGTATCGCCGGTGTAAGCAGAGACGCACAGTCCCGCGCTGATCCAAAATGCCCCGACTGCACCACGAACGCTTGGATCTGCATAGAGAAACACAGAGTGAACACTCCTGGGCCATCACAGTGTAGGCTAAATTTCACTACATTAACCCCTTTGCGCAGACGCCGGCGTCCATAAATTCCAAAATTTAACTCCTAAATAATTGTCTTGCTTCACTGGAATAATTTTCCACAGTCTCTGTGAAACAAATAATGAGTTATAAAGCCTAAATAGGCTCATGCATAACAGGAAAAATTTGGCATTATTTGTATTCTGCGCAAAGGGGTTAACCTGCTATTAGACCATTCTCTTGATCTACATGAATGTGCAAGTCACTCTTAATAGGGGCACTAGCTAGGGACATGAGCGATGAAAACAGAGGGTAAGGGAGTTCACACACGACAGGCATGCATGTAACTCTGAGCTCCGTAACAGGACACGCAGTACCTGGAAGTCAGTGAAGGTAATGTGCCAGTTAGATGGGGCATTTCTGGGCTCCTCCTCTCTGTGACCCCCCTCACTGGGTCTCACTTTGTTCGGCACCAGCAGGGAATCATATTTCTGCAAGCTGCTGACGTGCTTGCAGTGGTAGGAGTGTGTAGCAGGGGCATAAATCTCTGGGGCATCAAACATGGCCTCCAATTCATGGTTGTAGAGGATCTGAATGCTGTCCAGCGTAAACCAGGTCTGCTCTGTGGACTCGTAAAAAATGTTGGACATCTCCAGCCTGTGTGTCAGAACCACAGAGAAGCAGAGTTTGAGTGTATGTGACAGTATATGACTGAATGTGTGTCAGTGGTAGCTGCCCAGCTGAAATTAGAGGAGGCACAAAACATCCCTTGAATTGTTGATTAGTCTTGACCAGTTTTCAGTCATTTTCCTTGATGAACACGTTTCCAAAGTTTTGAATAATCCATTGGCAGTTAAACACGCAGCTCTCGTGAATACATTATTAAGCTGATCAAACAGTAATTTCAGGTATAACTAGAATGTGTTTTTACTTGTAAAAACAGACGTCTCCCCCCCGGCCCCCTTCCCTGCCTAACCCACCAGGTGGACGAACAGACAGACAGACAGACAGACAGGCACATACCAAAAGGCAGCAGTGCAGGACCTGAGTAGTAAGTATGCAAAGTTTTGTTGAGATCATGCAAACGGTTTAGGAGTTATGCTCCGGACAAAAATTGATCACATCCGGACAGACGGACAGACGGACGGACAAACAGGCACATACCAAATGGCACCACTTCAGGACCTGAGTAGTACGTATGCAAAGTTTTGTTAAGATCATGCAAACGGTTTTGGAGTTACGCTCCAGAAACCAAGTGGGAACGCCAACACCAATGCGAACGCAAACGCGCACGTGAACGGGAACCAAGCCTATAACAATATGTCTCCCCTCTCCCTCCGGGGGGGGGACATAATAAATAAGTTTCATTCACCAAATACGCTTTACAAATACAACAAGTGTTGCCACTAAATGTGGCCATGTCCCCCGCCAGGTCACAGAAATCGACTGGGGTCGGCGTATCACACTAATACACATTGAAGCCAAAGATGAATGAAATCGGTCAAACTGTTCTTGAGATATCGCGTTAACAACAAACGGGACGCGACAGACGTTCGGACGGTCAGAGCTGGATACCATGTCCCCCGCTCCGCTTGCTACTGCGGCGGCGGGGGACAATAACCTACACAGTAAACTTTCCTGCTGGCTGTTAGGACATTCTGGAATGCGGGCCATCTAACCTGCAGTTCATGATTTTTAAAATTACAATAAAGAAAATGAGGATTAACAACATGTATCCAGAATTTTCAATAATGTCAACTGAAATGCAATTTTGCATCCAAATGAAGCATTACATGTCTCGTCTTCAGTGTTTTTGGAGTTTATGTTATGTTAAGAAAATGACTGAAAACATGTCATGAGTGATCAATAATTTAAAGGGATGTTTTGTGCCTCCACTTAGTTCAGCTCTGCAGCAGCTGTTGGTGTGTGTGTGTGTGTGTTTGTGTGTGAGACACTCAGACAGAAAAAGGTTCGCACACTCGAGTTGATTCGCAAATTTTTATATCAACCGGCTGCAGGGGAACAGATCACAAACGTTTCGACCTTGCGGTCATCTTCAGTGTGTAACAGCAACATTGATTGAACAGCTTATATAAGGAATGTCACATGTACAATACCAATAAACTCATTAAGAATCGCTAATTGAACAAACTACACATGCAAATGAAGGGCAAAACAACAAAGCAGCAATCAATTGAGATGATTACGTTTTCATGCTGCACAAACCATCAGGCGAAGCCGTCATCAGCAGAATGCAAACCAATTATCTAATTGTAAAGGCGTCCAGTTGTAAATTTAGTAAGTTATAAAAAAACAGAAAGGTCGAATTCTTCATTAAGTCCAACAGAGGACATGGAATTTAATTTATATATCCAATGAGCTTCTCTTTGTAGCAACTTTTTTTCAATATTGCCGCCTCGACGGGGCAGTATCACTTTCTCTATGCCAACACATTGCAGATTGGAGAGTGGATGATTAAAATCAGCAAAATGTCTAAGCCACTGGTGAAGTAATATCCTGTCTACGTATAGCAGATTTGTGTTCTGTTAAACAAGCTCTTAAGGACCGGCTGGTTTTACCAATGTAAATCTTTGGACATGAACATAACAGCATGTAAAAGACATTACTAGTGGTACAAGTAATACATGATTTAATTTCAAATTTTTTCCCCAGTGTTCACACAGTTGAAAAATTTACATTTTATGAGAGTAGTACAAGATAGGCAACTTCTACATGGGTAACAACCAGTAATAAAGGACTGGGGTTTTTTCCGAATGACATCAGATCTGACTAACATGTTAGATAGGTTAAGAGACCTTTTTTAAATAAAAAGTGGAGGATTTCGAAAGGCTGAATTTAGAGTAGAATCAGAGGATAAAATACACCAATATTAATGAACTATGGACTTGATATTATGGCTAATTTTATTGTACGTTAAAACATAATTAACTGACATAGGCTTTTTGGCCTTTTTAGTATTCCTGAGTTATTGATCCCGATTTAATTCTTTTACTTTATTGTAGGCACCGGAGAGCCAATCTTCCGGATACCCACGAGAACGAAACCTTGATAACAGAATCTCAGATTGCCTTTCAAATTCCTCCCCAGAGTAACAAATGCGATGTAGTTGGTGTAATTGACTCAATGGTAAACCTTTTTTAAGAGGTAAAGGGTGGTAACTGTCAGCAGCCAGCAAAGTATTTTTATCAGTAGGTTTTCTGAAGACTGTAGTAATCAATTTGTTATCTTTTTTAGAGACTAAGACATCAAGAAAGTGAATATGAGATTGGTTTTTCTCCATAGTGAACGAAATCGAAGGAATTCTACCGTTTAAAAACTCTACAAATTCAATTAATTTATCCTCTGTATCCCTCCAAATGAGAAAGCAATCGTCAATGTAACGAGCCCAATATTTAATGCTATTGAAAAAAGGAATTATATTATATGTATTTTATAATAAATTTTTCTTTGTGTGTGAGACACAAACCTGATGACTAGTCCCTTCAGATGCTCCACATCTCCGAAGTTCAGGGAAAGCCTGCATGCAGAAACAGTTAATCAGCACTCAGGAGTCAATCTGGAGTTAATCACATACAGGAGCTATGGGAGCAATTCAGGAGGTGACGCTACACAGGAGGCAGTTAGGAGTCAATCACACACAGGAACCACGGGTGGCGGTGGCACAGTGGTTAAGTGTGCTTGACCTTGGATCAAAAGGTCCTGAGTTCAAGTCCTTGTCACGGCTTTCGCGGTGTGTTCTTGGGCAAAACACCTCACTCCACCCAGGTGAATAATTGAGTACCAGCAAATTGTCAGGGAAATCTGACAAAGAGCTTATAATTCAACTTCAATTATAAGTTGAATTCAACTTATAATTGAAACTTGTTGATCCTATATTTGCCCCTGTGCCAACTTTTTGGGAGTTTGTTGCAGTCATCAGATTTAACCCTTTAAGGCCTAATGCAAAAATCCCAGCAGAGAATCATGCTGCCATGTTTACCATTAGTAACCTGTATTTGGGCTGAAGCACAGCTTCTCAGCTTTCAGGAACAGTTGGAATCTTTTTCTATTGCGCAAAACTTACAGTAATTACGGTACTTTCAAAATTACGCGCATATCTGTGTTGGCAACGACACGTTCTTAAAATGCGCACATGCTGTCCCGGTTTAAATGGGTTAAAGTAGGACAGAGGACAGAAACTGCGTTTCAGCCTAGCTGTGTGTGCCTGTATGCTTCTGTGCCTTTTGGGCTACTGCAGGATGGCAAACAGGTGATGCTCAGGGTGAGCTGGTTCCCTGGCGATGCTGCAGTCCTTCCTTGGGAGGTGGTTTTGGTTACAGCTCCTCCAAGTCCAGGAGCTCCCCACCAATGATCCACTGTGCCATCCTCACTACTCACAGCAGGTTCTTTCAGTCTGAGATAGAGCAGCTGGCGTACCACACTGTAAAGTGGTAGTTGTGAACAGCCTCTGTAGTGCCGTGGTAGAAACTGACCAGTAGCTCTTTAAGTAAGGTTTTCTTAGAAACAAAACACGCTGTTGAGCCTTGCGCAAGGTGGCAGGCGTTCGACGACCACAAAAGGTCTTCTGCAATATGGACACCAAGAAACTTCAAACTTCTGTTCCATCTCCTACCCCTGTATTTGCAGTGAAGAGAGCTCCGTCCTCTTAGACACTTAGAATTCAAAGATTTTCCCTTTCGTCTTTTTAGTGTTCAAGGACAGATCGTTACACGAGCGCCATTCTACAAGATCCTGTGCTTCCTATCTTTTGTCTCATCCTTGTTTGACTGTGAACATTTTTCTTTTTCAAGAAAATTTGTGAAATGCCAGAAAGTACAGTTCCAAAGTTCCAAGTGAGGAGGGATAGAGACAAACAGGGTTAAATCCCCTTGAGCAACTCTAGAGTTCTAGGGTCTTGTTCAGGGGCCCAATGGCAGCATGCTTCCCAACTGCATCTTTCAGAACAAGTCAGAACCCCAAGCCCCTCCGAGTGCTTGAACTATCAAACTGCTTGGTAATCAGCTAAGCAACCTACAACCAGGCTACCCGGCCACCCATGAGAATGAGGGTGAATGAGATCAGGACACAGAGTGTGATGCTCTGAGGTCTGTTATTCGAAAATTCAAAAATCCAGTTGCAGAGTGGGGTTTCAAAGCAAAAACTGTACATTAAAGAAACCTGACTTACCGCAGTTCAATGTCCCGTCTGTGGCCAGCTAATTCCACTGCAGCATCAGGAATGTCATCATTAATACAATGAATCGCTTATGATCATGACAGAGCTGTCCATCTTATGCAAAGGGAACCCTCTGCCTAATTTTGTCAAATTTATTAATTAGTAATTAGTTTATAATTAGTAATTAATTAATTTGACCTGGCGAAGCAGGTCTGTGAGAGCAGCTCTGTGAGGGCCTGACTCATATCCCGGCTCTCTTGCCCTGCTTCTGTTTTCTATCCTGTCACCGCCTACCTACATCCCATCTCTGCCGTGATGGTAGTCTCCCAGGGCTTCGGTGAGCGTATAAGATACACAGTACCACCAAGTTTAATTTCAGCACTCAAGCTACAGATCCTCAGAAAAACAGGAATTTGACTGCAACTCTAAAACTGTGAAGACACACGGTTTCATTGGACAAATAGGCTCCACTGTAGCAGGCAAGCACACACATTTCTCTCCACTGGGGTCAGTAACACAAGCAGACACACACACACACACACACACACTCGCACTGATGCTCTCACTCAAACTCACACTGCATGGTCTTTGCTGCATGTGGAGTCTCTGGTGTCCACCAGCGCGCTGGGGCCGAAAGTGCGCTCGGTCAGGTCCACGGCGCTGTGGTTGTAGTGGCTGATGGCCATCTTACGTGCGCGGAACAGGATACACGTTACCCCACCGGGGGCCACGCTGAGAGGTGGGTAGGAGGGGAGGCCTGTCTGCAGCAGCTTTCGGTTCGGTGTGGGCGGAGTCTTCGGAGTCTGTCTTTGGCCCATCCCATCTGACTGTGAGGAATTAACGTTAATTTTATTCGTAAAGTACATTTCACAGAATATTCACAGCGCTGCTCTCGAAGTACCAGAGGGGCAAAAAAATGTCCCGGGCCTGAATAGCCCAACTGCTATTTTGCCCTTGTTCCCTCAGCTACATTCTCACTGCTTGTGGATCCCACTGAGGAGGCCTGATGTAATGTGCTGCTACTGTACCCACAGGAGCTCAAACATTGAAAATCAGTCACTAAGCAGTCCATTTTCTACTTGAGAGTTTAATCATTTATCAAAATTTCACCTGGCAGCAGAGTTAAACTGGTGTTGTCCAATGTAGGATAGTAAGTGAGCACTTATGAATTGCAATGAAGTAAAAAAGTAAACACATAAAATAGCATACATACAAAAACAGATAACATCAGTTTTGTCTCAGATGATGAAGAAAACGCAGTGAGGTATCTGGTCACTCTTAAGCCTTATATGGAGTAAGCGAGGGATCAAGCTGATGTCATCATGGGGTCGCAAAGGGCTATACCTGCAGAGTCCTGCTGGGGGGGTGTGAGGAGTTCTTCTCATGGGGGAAACTGTGATCCTCACTGACCTCAGCATCTGAACCCCAAAATAAGACACACACAACACAATGATCTGCTATTAAAGTCCACACACAGCAACAGGAGCTGAAAAACTATTAAAACTGAGTTCTCCAGGGCAGCAGAATGCCTGGGTGGCTTTGCTATCTAATAATCATTGAAGAACTTGACTGTGGTAGCGAAAGAGGAGACATTTTGAAAAGTGGGTGCTCAAAACATCACCAAAGTCAACTCTTTGACTTTGTATCAGACAAAATCAGGAGTCGGCATAATTCAGTCCAAACAGATGTTGTTGCAGATGCTGAAGTGGACACGATACGTAGCCTTCGAATGAATGTCCACAATAGGCCTGTTCCACCGAAGAAGTTCCTGGCAGTATTTGGGGGGCAGGAACTACTACAGGAACGTACCCTCACTCGGCCCTCTCAACTGCCGTGTCTCCACCAAGAGGGCGAAGTAGGAGGAACTCCTTTTAAAAATGCGACCTCTCGTCGTCTGCTGAGTTTTAAAAATGCCGGCTATTTTGTCGCTTTCTGTTGATGTCACATCCCGCCCTGAGTAAATCCAATCAGCGCCAAGTAAACCCTAAGCCCCACCCAGGAGTTTTTCGGGGCCGTTCAGAGTACCTACTCCGAGGCAGGGACTTTTTTAGCCCCTGTAAAAGTTCCGGAACTCTGTCCTTCGGGGGTGGTTCCGGCGGTGGAGACACGCAACAACAGCCCTGGCGCCGAAAAATTACCTCGAAGTTCCTGCGGTGGAAACGGGCCTATTATTTTATAAATTGCCTGCATTACTCACCTTCCCTGATGCTAACTGGAGGGGACAGTGACGACTTTGAGCTGCCAACAAAAACAAACCAGTTACATTTCAGATGAGAGGGTTCAAAAAGGAAATCGTGGGAAAAAGTCTTATAACTACCAAATTTATTTTTACTCTCCACATAATCACATTTGAATAAACACCAGTTAGCACGGAATATTACTGTATGCTGTGTTTTCATTTACAGGACACTCTTTAAAACCCTCTGATGTTTTGTAACGTTTGGACCAAATAATTATTCCTTTTGATTGGCCTCTAAACTCCAAAATTTCATATTTGCATTTATACACTTTAAGCGCAAAGCTTTTATTAAATGGCTTTTATTGTATTTTTAAACGTTTTGGTTCACCAAGAAGAAATTACTATACTTTTTATGCACAGAAATTCCACTATTTCAGGGGACCATAATGCCTAAGATAAATGCCTTAGCAGGTGCTTCTGATTAAGCAGGTGTATTCAATCGCTTCCTTAGAGCAGGTGCAAGTACCTTTCAGTCGTTAGGTTTCTTGGCTTTTGATTGCCCCTGGAGTCTGTCATTGGTAACCAACACCAACAAGAAGACCAGAGTTAAACCAATAAGGGCGCTTTCACACCAGGAAAGTCTGGGGGACTCGGTTCGATTGGGCGGGGAATGCCGAAAAATTTTGCACTTTCATTTGATTTGGTTCACTTTCACTCTGCACTTTTGAAAGCGGACCAAACCGCCTAGACAACGTCATGCAGTTACAACAGCTGCTTGTCTGGGGAGTTATTGCCCGAAACGAGCACTGACCATGAAGAAAAAAGCATGAGGAAGAAGAAAACCCTCATTGATTGGCCAGGACCTCTCTTTGGTTCGCTGGATAGTCCGTTTGCATTTCCCACTGTAAGCGAACTGCACCAGGGTTCGTTTGAAAGCGTACCGAGACCACCATGAGGTGGTGGTCTCGGTACACTTGTTTTGGTATGCTTTTGGTGCGATTCCTGGCACGATTGCTGCTTTCACACCGAACCAAACGAACCGAGAAGGAAAACAAACTCTGGTGCGATTCAACCGAACCAAATGAGGCTGGTGTGAAAACACCCTAAAACAACTTTATTCTTCATGTTCAGTACGGACATATCAAACGTGGACAAATTAAAAATAATTTCTAATATTTTGCATCATTGATTTTGATTTGTTTCTGGAAACCGGTTGTTGACCACACATTTTTTTTAAAGAATACATAATAGACTTCAGGAGCGGACAGACTCCACAGTTGGATGAGCTATGAAACTGTACACAGTAATTGTATATACTCATTGCCTTTGAACTTGACTGAAAAAAAGGCAAAATGATTACAAGAAAGAAATGCAAATGCTACATCAAG